AGCCACTGAGTCCACCACTCTAGTGCCTTCTACCCTGTGACGTCGCAGATTCACGACACATTGTTTTGATTTGTCATGAGGCTGGAGTATTTATTCCGTGACTTTGTTGGACATATCTGCACAATTAAGAAACATCCGTGCACCATGTTGGCTCCAAATGCACTCATTGTGTCAGTGATGGCTGACTGGTGGGTGGATGGGCAGGCAGGCAGGGATGGAGAGGCTGAAATGTAGGCAAGCAGGCAGGGAGAGGCAGGAAGGTAGGCAGGGAGGGAGTGGCAAGGAGGGAGGCAGGAAGGCAAGGAGGGAAGGAGGCAGGCAGGCAGAGTTTGGGAGAGAGGCAGGCAGAGGCTGGGTGGTAGGCAGGGAGGGAGGCAGGCAGAGCTTGGGAGGGAGGCAGGGAGAGGCTGGGTGGTAGGCAGAGAGGGAGTTGCAAGGAGGGGAGGGAGGCAGGCAGGCAGAGAGGGAGAGGCAAGGAGGGAGGGAGGCAGGCAGAGCTTGGGAGGGAGGAAGGCAGGCAGAGGCTGGGTGGTAGGCAGGGAGGGAAAGGATGGAGATGGATGGATGGTAGGATGGAGATGGATGGAGGGATGGTTTGATGGATGGATGGATTGATGGATGGAGGGAGCGATGCATGTTGAGGTGAAGCAGGGACAGCGTGTGTATGGGAAGTATGGGAGGGGGCGGGTGGGGGGAGGTGTGTCGATGGTAGGGAACGGACCGGCTCACTGATAAGCCTAACACACTTGACCCACTTAACCAGATGTTTCTTAAAATTTTGAATGGATGGAAGGAAGAAGGGAGGGAGGGATGGAAGGAAGAAGGGATGGAGGGATGGAAGGAAGAAGGGAGGGAGGGATGGAAGGAGGGAGGGAGGGAGGGATGGAAGGAGGGAGGGAGGGAGGGATGGAAGGAAGAAGGGAGGGAGGGATGGAAGGAAGAAGGGAGGGAGGGATGGAAGGAAGAAGGGACGGAGGGATGGAAGGAAGAAGGGACGGAGGGATGGAAGGAAGAAGGGACGGAGGGATGGAAGGAGGGAGGGAGGGAGGGAGGGAGGGATGGAAGGAGGGAGGGAGGGAGGGAGGGAGGGAGGGAGGGAGGGAGGGATGGAAGGAGGGAGGGAGGGAGGGAGGGATGGAAGGAAGAAGGGAGGGAGGGAGGGAGGGATGGAAGGAAGAAGGGAGGGAGGGATGGAAAGAAGAAGGGAGGAAGGGAGGGATGGAGGGAGAGAGGGAGGGATGGAAGGAGGGAGGGAGGGAGGGAGGGATGGAAAGGAGGGAGGGAGGGATGGAAGGAGGGAGGGAGGGAGGGAGGGAGGGAGGGAGGGAGGGAGGGAGGGAGGGAAGGAAGGAAGGAAGGAAGGAAGGAAGGAAGGAAGGAAGGAAGGAAGGAAGGAAGGAAGGAAGGAAGGAAGGAAGGAAGGAAGGAAGGAAGGAAGGAAGGAAGGAAGGAAGGAAGGAAGGAAGGAAGGAAAGGAAGGAGGGAGGGAGGGAGGGAGGGAGGGAGGGAGGGAAGGAGGGAGGGAGGGAGGGAGGGAGGGAGGGAGGGAGGGATGGGAGGGATGGAAGGAAGGAAGGAAGGAAGGAAGGAAGGAAGGAAGGAGGGAGGGAGGGAGGGAGGGAGGGGGGAGGGAGGGGGGAGGGAGGGAGGGGGGGGAGGGAGGGAGGAGAGGATGAAGGGGAGGAAAGGAGGGAGAGATGGAGGGAGGGAGGGAGGGATGGAGGGCAGAAGGGAAGGAGGGAGGAAGGGATGGAGGGGAGGGAAGGAGAGAGGGATGAAGGGAAGGATGGAGGGAGGGATGGATGGAGGGAGGGATGGAGGGAAGGAGGGATGGAGGGGAGGGAGAGATGGAGGGAGGGAGGGAGAGGGATAGAGGGAAGAAGGGATGAAGGGGAGGGAGGGAGGGAGGGAGGGAGGGAGGGAGGGAGGGAGGGAGGGAGGGATGGATGGATGGATGGATGGATGGATGGATGGTTGGAGGGAGGGAGGGAGGGATAGAGGGAAGGATGGATGGAGGGGAAGGATGGATGGAGGGGAAGGATGGATGGAGGGGAAGGATGGATGGAGGGGAAGGAGAGAGGGATGGTTGGATGAAGGGAGGGAGCTGGGAGGGAGGGAGGGAGGGAGGGAGGGAGGGAGGGATGGATGGTTGGAGAGATAGTTGGATGGAGGGAGGAAAAAGAGAGGGAAGAAGAGAGGGATGGAGTGATGGATGTTGAGGTGAAGCAGAGACAGCGTGTGTATGGGAAGGAATGGGGGGGGGTGTCGGTGGTGGGGAAGGGACCGGCTCACTGATAAGCCTAACACACTTGACCCAGTTAAGGAGGGAATAACAGGCAGGCAGGCAGGCTGGCTGGCTGGCTGGCTGGCAGGCAGGCAGGCAGGCAGGCAGGCAGGCAGGCAGGCAGGCAGGCAGGCAGGCAGGCAGGCAGGCAGGCAGGCAGGCAGGCAGCCAGCCAGCCTGCCAGCTAGCCAGCCTGCCTCTCTGCCTGCCAGTCTGCCTGCCTCCCTCTCTGCCTGCCTGCCAGCCTGCCTGCTTGCCAGCCAGCCAGCCTGCCTGCTTGCCAGCCAGCCAGCCTGCCTGCTTGCCAGCCAGCCTGCCGGCCTGCCAGCCAGCCTGCCAGCCTGCCTCTCTGCCTGCCAGCCTGCTTACCTGCCTGTCCCTTCCTCCCTAATTCGCCCATCCTCCCTTACTACTTCCCTCCCTTCCTGCCTACCTCCCCCTCCCTCCCTTTCTCACTAATTCTCCCCCCTCATTCTCATACTGCCTCCACCTAAGGTCCCCTATCCATCCACCCACCAGTCAGCCATCGCTGATGCAATGCGTGCATTTGGAGCCGACATGATGCACAGATGATTGGGCAGATATGTAAAACAAAATCACAGACTGAATACTCCAGCCTCGTGACAAATCAAAATAATAGGAATAATAGGCTGTGAATCTGTGAAACCACAGGGTGGAAGGCACTTTAGAGTGGTGGCAACCAACACGGTCAGTGGGCAAACTGGACCATCTCCCATCGGCGGTGTGACACTTGGTGGACCGCTTCCTACCCAAACTTTGTTCGTGTAGCATGACTCCCTAACCCCAATCGGGAAACTGGAAGTTTCGGATAACTAAAGTTCAGAAACCAAGTGGTGTTCTGTACTATCTTGGCTAAATAATACCAGTTACATATATATTTTGACATTATTAGGCGATGCTGTGGTCACAAGCTGAACAGCAGTACTGTGAGCTAATGCTGCGTGAGCCATACTTGGTTGCTCACTCAGTACTGAGGTTCTCACACCTGGGAATGTTGCCAACAACAACAACAAAAAATGGTGTTTGTTTACAAGAGCCCAGAGGAAGCTGATGTGAACCTTATGTAGCCGCGGGAGTTTTTAAACATACGCTATACCTATAAGATCCCTAAGGCAAGTTGCGCACCACCCGTTGAGCAGTGTAGTGGTTAACCCTTAAACTGCGCATGGCGTATATATACGCCCTGAGTAACATGTCCCATGGTGCGCATGGCGTATATATACGCCATAGGGTGCCAGGCCTGATTCAAATGGCCCGCGGCTACACGGGGTTCACAGTAGCTTCCTCAGGGCTCTTGTAAACAGATGCAATTTAAAAAAAAAATCGTGGGCAATATTCTCAGGTGTGAGAGGCACAGTACTGTTGGAGCAACCAAGGCCGGCGCACGCAGCATGAGCGAACAGCATTGATGTTCAGCTTGTGACCACAGCATCGCCGAAAAATGTCAAAATAAATATATAATTTTTATTATTTAGCGATGACAATATTACAGATGACCAATGACTGTGATATATATAACCAGGGTTGTGATAATAGCAGGATTGTTGTAATAATTAGCGCTGTGGGAGGAGTGATGCTGAGAGACGGAGGGAGACAGCATCGTTTACTGACTGTGTGGCCACCTGTTATTGTTTGCATTCACCATACCAGGTCAGTGGTTCTCTATGGTGAACACAAATGTAGATACTTATATATAATGTGTGTATTAGTGTAATAACAGCAAAAGGATTATGCTGGGAGGAGCCATTTGGGTGACGGAGGTGACGTCGTCTGCACGATTTGTCTAGCTGTTTAGAGTGGCCACTATGCTCTTTGGGCGCACTACAAGCTTAGGTGTACAGTTACGGTGCATAAAACATGTAGATATTTATATATAATATGTGTATATAGGGTAATAACACTGCAAAAGGTATTGTTGGGGGAGAAAGTTTAGTGCGTGTGACCTTGAAAGAGTGAGGAAGCCGCCAGCCGCCATCTATGTATAGCGACGACTCTTAGTGCCTGAACTAACTATATCAGCTTAGCTGTACAGTTGTGGTGAACAAAATATACACATACTTATATATAACGTCTGTATATAGTGTAATAACACCACAACTGGTATTGTTGGGGAAGAAAGTTTAGTGCGTGTGTTGAGGGAGTGGCAGCGAGTGGCTGGCTGGTGTGTGACGGTAACTCCTCGTTGCTTTTCGACTCTCAATACCAACTTAGTGGTTCTTTATGGTGACCAAAACATGCCAATACTTATATATAACCTGTGTATAGAGTGTAATAGCAGCAAAACTATTTGTTTATTTTTTTTATAAACATAATAATTGAATCACTAATATGCACATCATACTTTTGAGTACTGTACTGTCAATTCGGAGGATGGGTTGATTCTATTCTATTCTGTGTATGTTACTTTATGTACTCTAACATCCTACCAAATTTCATGTAAATCTGAGGTGTTTGGCATAGAAGCAGTGAAGATTTGGAGTGGATAGACTCCAGTTACCATGATATTATTGGTTTGTCTTTATTGTACAGTTTTCTTGATATAATTGGTTTCTTTTTGCAGTACAATTGTTTTAATGCACAGAGAAATCACATTAACATGATTTTTCTTTGTATAATTGTCCTGATATTTGTTTTCTTTGTACAATTGTCCTGATGTTATTGGTTTTAATATTAATAATATATGTGACACTTTCAGATTGCTGACACTTATATTGACTCGGGCAGCTTCTTAGACAGTGTAATTGAAGTGAAAGATGGTAAGATATATTTATCCTTTACATATATTTAATATATTGTAGTAAGTTAGGGTACAGGGAATTGACAGATGATGTAGATTTAGTTAACGACTAGTAATTTAGTTAATGGCTAGTGATTCAGTTAATGGCTAGTGATTTAGTTAATGGTTAGTGATTTAGTTAACCCTTAACATGCTAGGGGTATAATATCCTTTCTTCCCCACAGGTGCATGTAATTTTGAAAATAAAAAATTATTTTTTCTTCCTAACCTGTTAATTTGTGTTCACTGATCATGGGAAAAATAATAAAAAAATCGTAAGTGGCATATATTGCCCGCTATAGGGTGGGGAAGTCTGGCACAAAATAGGCGCTGACTCAGCGTGCGTCCCAGGCGGTCTGTTGATCGCCAGCTGTCAGGCCGGAGTTGCCACAAAGAGATAATTACCTAATTATTTCAATGTCTCCGATTGATTTTTCATAGTTTTTTTGCTGTAATATTATTCAATAGTGTGTAGTTTGATATATTTATATAATAAAATGAGTGAATTATCGCTGTACTCAGAAATATGGTGTGCATATTGTTGATTCAATTATGTTCATCAATCAGTGAACAAATACTTTGTCGGTTATTACACTATATACACAGGTTATATATAAGTATCTGCATGTTTTATTCACCATAACGAACCACTAAGTAGCTATTATGAGTCAAAAAGTAACAAGGAGTGACCGCCGTGTACCAGCCAGCCACTCATGCCCTCCCTCAAGTCATCTGACTCACCCACATTCTACTCCCACAATACTGTTTTTGCTTTTATTCACTATATACATACGTTATATATAAGTATCTACATTCGTGTTCACCATAACGAACCACTAAGTTGGCATGCTGAGTGACAGTGCCAGTGGCAGCCCACCACTGGTTGCTACTTCCTCCTTCCCTCAAGTCACCTGACTCACCCACATTCTCCTCCCACAATACTGTTTTTGCTTTTATTCACTATATACAGACGTTATATATAAGTATCTACATTCGTGTTCACCATAACGAACCACTAAGTTGGCATGCTGAGTGACAGTGCCAGTGGCAGCCCACCACTGGTTGCTACTTCCTCCTTCCCTCAAGTCACCTGACTCACCCACATTCTCCTCCCACAATACTGTTTTTGCTTTTATTCACTATATACAGACGCTATATATAAGTATCTACATTCATGTTCACCATAACGAGCCACTAAGTTGGTATGCTGATTGGCAGTGGCAGTGACAGTGACAGGCAGTGGCAGCCCACCACTGGTTGCCACTCCCTCCCTCCCTCACCTCACCTGACTTGCCACCATTCTCCACCCACCATACTGTTTTTGCTTTTATATACAGACGTTATATATAAGTATTTACATGTTTTGTTCACCATAACTGTACATCTAAACTTGTATGGTGAGTAAAGGCACAAAGACGTAGGATCTCACACAGCTGATGGCTGCCGCCCTCAAGGCCAGACGCACTAATATTTCTCCTCCAACAATACTGTTGTTGTGTTATTGCACTATATACACACATTATATATAAATATCTACCTGTTTTATTCACCATATTTGTAGAAGTAAACTGGTATGGTGCCCAAAAACCATCGTGGTAACCAGTAAACAACACCGTCGTCTGCATGGTGGCGTCGTGCAGACGACGCCACCGATTTCACCAAAATGCGGCTCCCAACCTTCTCCTCTTGCTGTTTATACCCTCTATACACACGTTATATATAAGTATCTACATTTGTGTTCACCATAGCGAACCACTAAGCTGGTATGGTGAGTGCAGTCAATAAAAGGTGGCCATGCACAGTCAGAAGACATCGCCACCACCCTCCCTCCCACAGCATTACTCCTCCCTCCATGGCGCACAGCGCTAAATATCACCACAATCCTGCTATTATCAGAACCCTGGTCAGTTTTATCACAGTCAGGGGTCTTCTGTAATAATATCATCGCTACATAATAGCATGAACAAGTATATTATGGCATTTTTAGGCGATGCTGTGGTCACAAGCTGAACAGCAGTGCTGTTAGCTCATGCTGCGTGCATCAGGCTTGGTTGCTCACTCAATACTGAGGCTCCTAACACCCGGGAGTTTGGCCCACGATTTAAAAAAAAAATGGCGTCTGTTTACAAGAGCCCTGATGAAGGTGTGGTGAACCCTGTGTATCCGCGGGCCGTTTAAATCTTGCGTAGTACTCCAACACGTCATATGATGTGATGCACACTTTAAGGGTTAATGACTAGATTATTTAGCAAATTATGAACTAGTTAAGGACTAGTAATTTAATCAATGAATTGGGTAACATTCCCTCTTTATAGTTCTTGGAAGAATGTGTCAATCTTTGCTATTGGCCCAACTTTGCTGATGTGAATAGATTTTCCTCTAATAATTTATTTTCGGTTAAAGATGTAATTATATTTTTTGCTATTCCAAATATTATTGATACAATCTGGTTATGCTATAATACAATTTTGAGAGGTGAAGGGAATGATAGCCGAGCTTGGTGCAATACAAAGTTGATTGAGGGATTATAGCTGTATATTTTCTATGCAAACTCAACAAGGTCGATCAGCACTGGCTCTCCAGCAGCGTTCTTGACATTTATTGCCTTGGTCCAAAATGACGATCCAGATGTTGGAATTGGGCACTTACAAATGGGGGTGTATATGGATTTAAGACCAATATCTGGGAACCATTTCACCAACTTGTGTGGAAATTTACTTTTCATAAGGAAAATCAGGAAAGAATATACCAGTACTGCATTGTACACTGCTCCCCGCTTCTCTCAAGTGCTAGACCACTATGGCATGGAAAACCAGCAAAATGCTGATGTAATATACACAGAGTTCTCAAAAAGCTTTCGACAAACTTAATATTAATTAACCTTGACAATAATAACCTTAACCCTTTATCCTTAACCCTTAACATGCTCGGGGTCTAATATCCTGCCATCCCCACAGGCGCATGTCATTTTGAAAAAAAAAAATTATTTTTTCTTTCTAACCTGTTAATTTGTGTTCACTGATCACGGGAAAAATAATAAAAATAATCGTAAGTGGCATATATTGCCCGCTATAGGGCGGGGAAGTCAGGCAAATTATAGGCGCTGACTCAGCGTGCGTCCCAGGCGGTCTGTTGCTCGCAAGCTGTCCGGCCAGAGTTGCCACAAAGAGATAATTACCGAATTATTTCAATGTCTCTGATTGATTTTTCATACTTTTTTTGCTGTAATATTATTCAATAGTGTGTAGTTTGATATATTTATATAATAAGATGAGTGAATCATTGCTGTACTCAAAAATATGGTGTGCATATTGTTGATTCAATTACGTTCATCAATCAGTGAACAAATACTTTGTCGGTTATTACACTATAAGCACAGGTTATATATAAGTATTTGCATGTTTTGTTCACTATAACGAACCACTAAGCAGCTATTATGAGTCAAAAAGTAATGAGGAGTGACCGCCGTGTACCAGCCAGCCACTCTCGCCCTACCTCCAGTCATCTGACTCACCCTCATTCTCCTCCCACAATAATGTTTTTGCTATAGTTCACTATATACAGACGTTATATATATAAGTATCTACATGTTTTGTTCACCATAACTGTACATCTAAGCTTGTATGGTGAGTAAAGGCACAGAGATGTGGCTACTCACACAGTCAGCTGATCGGCGGCCGCCCTCAAGGTCAGACGCACTAATATTTCTCCTCCAACAATACTGTGTGGTGTTATTACGCTATATATCTTATATACAGACGTTATGTATAAGTATCTACATGTTTTGTTCACCATAACTGTACATCTAAGCTTGTATGGTGAGTAAAGGCACAGAGATGTGGCTACTCACACAGTCAGCTGATCGGCGGCCGCCCTCAAGGCCAGACGCACTAATATTTCTCCTCCAACAATACTGTGTGGTGTTATTACGCTATATACACACATTATATATAAATATCTACCTGTTTTATTCATCATACTTGTACAAATAAACTGGTATGGTGCCCAAAGACCATCGTGGTAACCAGTAAACAACACCGTCGTCTGCACGGTGGCGTCGTGCAGACGACGCCACCGCTCTCACCAAAATGGCGGCTCCAAACCTTCTCTTGCTGTTTATACCCTCTATACACACGTTATATATAAGTATCTACATTTGTGTTCACCATAGCAAACCACTAAGCTCGTATGCTGAGTGCAGTCAATAAAAGGTGGCCACACAGTCAAAAGACATCGCCACCACCCTCCCTCCTACAGCATTACACCTCCTTCCATGGCGCACAGCGCTAAATATCACCACAATCCTGCTATTATCAGAACCCTGGTCAGTTTTATCACAGTCAGGGGTCTTCTGTAATAATATCATCGCTACATAATAGCATGAACAAGTATAATTTGGCATTTTTAGGCGATGCTGTGGTCACAAGCTGAACAGCAGTGCTGTTAGCTCATGCTGCGTGCATCAGGCTTGGTTGCTCACTCAATACTGAGGCCAATAACACCCGATAGTTTGGCCCACGATTTTTTTTTTAAATGGCGTCTGTTTACAAGAGCCCTGATGAAGGTGTGGTGAACCCCGTGTATCCGCGGGCTGTTTAAATCTTGCGTAGTACTCCAACACATCGTATGACGTGATGCGCAGTTTACTGGTACAACGTCCAGCACGTCATATGACGTGATGCGCACTTTAAGGGTTAAAGGGCTCAATACAATTCTAGCTGGGGTGAGTAACTATTGCGGGACAGCGCACCATAGTTATGTATGGTTGGGAGTACCACGTATGATTTAAAAGTCCCATGGGTACACGGGGCTCGCCTCAGCTTCCTCAGGGCTCTTGTAGACAGTTGCCATTTTAAAAAATTGTGGGCAACATTCCCGGGTGGGAAAACCTCAGTACTGAGTGAGCCACCAAGGCTGGCATGTAGAATGAGCTCATGGCACTGCTGTTCAGCTTGTGAAAACAGCATCGCCTAATAATGT